AGGAAGGAAGAAAGAAAGGCAGGAAGGAGGGAAGGAAGGAAGGGACAGGGAGAGGAGAAAAAGGAAGTAAATGAGGGAAGGGGAGAAAAAGGGAAGGGAAAGAGAAGGGAAGTTTTCCACGGCTGGACCAGTATTGTTGTCAAGCCGGCCTGGTGCTCCTTGTTGTAAAAACAAGCTCAATGATGTTTAAACAATTCCAACACTGGGGAATGACAGCTCTTGTCCGGGAACAACATGTTCTGTCCGAGCACTAAGGCTGAACCTTCAGCAGGAAGAGGAACAAGAACTCTATTTTTCTGGCCACACTTTTCAACAGGACCGTAACGAAAGAGAATTTAGTACAGGAAGTGGCGAGTAGCTACTGATCGCCTTTTTGGTCTGAAAAAAATTCCAATTTCACTTCTCTGAAGATACTGTGCTCTGTGAAAGGCGTCGCTTCATTTTCTGCCCAGTATGTGGGAATAATGACCAAGGGCCAAGCAGACAAGTGTGAGCCCAGGAGAAGGGGAGGCGGGTGGGGGTGGGTCTCAGCTGCCAAACTTCGGAAGCTGTTTTCTTAGAGGCACCGACGGCACTAATATAGGCGCTGAAGATCTCCAGCCTTACGTTCTCTTTATGAAGGAGAAAGAGCAGTGGGGTCTGCCTAAATCTAAAACAACCCTGGGGCGCCTGGGTGGCTCAGTCGGTTGAGCATCTGACTCGGCTCAGGTCATGATCTTGCGGTTTGTGAGTTTGAGCCCCGCGTCGGGCTCTGTGCTGACAGCTCAGAGCCTGGAGCCTGCTTCGGATTCTGTGTCTCCCTCTCTCTCTGCCCATCCCCCGTTTGTGCTCCGTCTCTCAAAAATAAATAAATAAATGTAAAAAAAAATAATAATAAAAAAATAAAACACCCTTACGGAATAAACCCCAAACTTCTGAAAGCATTTATACTGTCATACTTTGCGGTAGTTATAAAATAAATGTTGACTGGCCAGTGGGGCTGAAGCAGGTGTTACAGAATAATGTGCGGTGAGCAGTCACGGAATGCTGAGAAACTCAGAGGCTCCTCCCAAAAGTCCTTCAGTTTAGGACAGACAGTAACAACCTCGCTCCCGAGTTCCCAGGAGCCCACACACCTCCTTAGCGGGGTCGGCGCTCAGGGGCACCACCGTCAGTTTCTCAGCTCAAGGACAGACAGGAGAGAGGATGTGGGAGCCTGGGGGGTCTTTGCTGTCCTGGCCTTTCTGGAGCGTGAAGGCCAAGCTACTGATGCCTTGTTACAAGGCAGTGGGAGCTCGATTCCTTTGGCAAATATGGCATCTTTTCCTTGGGACTGTTTTTTTGATGCTGTTAAGGTCCAAGATCAACAGGCCTTCAGTTTCTCCTTCTGTCTTGGGCCGTGGAGAGGACAGGGGACACCCCTTACTCCAGGTACCATTATTTACCCCTGGGGCCTCTACTTCCATATTCATGGAGGTGATGCACAAATGTCTAATACCCCATTATTCGTTCGTTCGTTCATTCATTCATTCAGTTTGTTCATTTCCTCATTTGTTTACCCATTCATAAACATCTTTTTGTTTAACAGAATACAACATGGAGCAGGCGGTGTATCATCGGAAGTACTACTGGAGTTCAGAGGAGCGCGTTGGGGGAGGGGCGAGCAGGACAGAGGCGGCCGCTGATGTGGTTTGAAGCGTTGGGGTTCAGAGTCAACGGCCAAGAAAGAATTCTTTAGATGTCTTGGGTGCAAAAAGGGTGTTTTATTTATTTTGAGAGAGAGAAAAGGTGTGAGTGGGGAAGGGGCAGAGAGAGAGAATCCCAGGCTCCGTGCTGCCAGCTCAGAGCCCAACGCGGGTCTCGATGCCACAAACTGAACCGTGAGATTATGACCTGAGCCGAGATCCAGGGTCGGACGCTTAACCTACTGGGCCACCCACGTGCCCCACAAAAGGGTGGTTTTATTTGACCACGGGGCCAGGGCTTTGGGGCAGAAAGAGCTGCAGTGGGGTTGTGGCGAGTGACTGATTATATACCCTCAGGTTGGGAGGGCGTTAGGGATAACGTAAGTCTCTAAGGTATTTTGGAAACAAGGTTTTCAGGACCTTGAGGCGTTAGCTGTTGTTAGGAAAAGGTCATCACTGTTTAGTAGAAACTCAGTCCTGGGACCCTTCAGATGTATATCAGGGGGCCATAAGCTTGGAGTATGATTGCCAACATACATCTTGGGGGGGTGGGGGTGGGAGTTGAGATAAAAGAAGTTTCCAAAGGAATTTTTCTATGTGAAAGGACACTTACAGGATCCTGGGGGTCAGGATAATGTTAAGCTAAGGTTACCTTCTGCCTCTTAGCGAAGGGTCATCATCCAGGCAACTGAGTTCTGAGAGGAAGGTCAGTCTGTCTGCCTCAAGGACTTATCAATGGGCTGTAGGCAGTAAGGGAATTTAGCTTTTCTTTTGCTTTAGTTTCCCACATCAGCAGCGATTTCCAGTGTGCTAGCTTGGTCCCGTCTGAATCCTCATCAGCCCCTGGCAGAGCCTGGCTTGAGTAGGTGCTTTCCCCTGAAAGAAAGGGGCCAGGGAGGCCCGAGGGAAAAACTCTGCCTTGCCCGCCACAGGAGCACTGCAGCACCACAATCTAGACTCCGAAGGGGTCTCTGAAGCGGCCTCTAACGGAGTGGTCCCCACAGTTCCCTGCGGCCCTCACAGCAGAGGGGAGGTTGGCTGTCACATGAGTGGCCCACGGCCACTGCTTCTCCCTCTGAGGGAGAAAGGGAAGGAGGGGAACAGCAGCAGTAACTGAAAAAGCAAATCCACGGGGTGCCACCCACCTTCATTCACTGCTTTTCCCTCAACGGTCACCCTAACAGACCTTGAAGCTAGTTGCTCTCGGAAAAGGCCGCTTCCCTTTCGGCCTGTTCCTTCCCAAGGTTCTTGTCAGTGGAAAAACCTTCCCGGTGGTCACTGCTGAGAGGCTGGAAGACGAGAGAATGCCAACACTCGGGGCCCTATTTCCACGCTGCTCAGGGGCCCTCACGTCCCCTTGCCGTGGGCTTCTGGTGGTGTCACAGTGACGTTGAGATGCACTCTCCCTCCCGCAGATCTGATTGTCATTGCCTTCTGGGTGAGCCTGGCATTTTTCGTCATGCTTCTCTTCCTCATCCTGCTCTACATGTCCTGGTCAGGGTCCTCGCAGGTGAGGTGAGTAAGGGTGGGGGGGGGGGGGGCGGCACGTGTACAGGTAAGTCACGTGGCTAAACAGCGAGCAGCCGCACGTCCACGCAGCGGAATGTTATGTGGCCACAAAAAGGAATAAATCACCGATTCCTTCTGCAACACGCATGAACTTCAGAGTCACTGTCCTGAGGGATAGAAGCTAGACACAAAAGGGCCGGTATTGTATGACTGATTCCATTGCTATGAAACATCTAGAATATTCTAAAGCAGATTGTGTTGATGGTTGTATAACTGGGAATATACTGAAGATCTGGAGTTTTAGGTTTTAAATAGGTGAACTTTACTGTATGTATCTCAATGAAGTTGTTAGAGAAAATAGAGCCTAAATGACCCCACATGCCAGTTAGGTCTTGCCAAACAACTCATCAGGAAAATGGGACCCAAACTTAGGCATCTATGACCACCATGTGCTAATGAATACCTACTATGTGCCTTAGGGGTTAAATTCGGTAAAATCTAGGAGCTCCAAGAATTAGCTAGTAATTAACCTAGCTCGTTACACATTTTTTTGAAAATGTTTATTTATATTTGAGAGCGAGCAAGGGAGTGAGTGGGGGAGGGGCAGAGAGAGGGAGACAGAGGATCCAAAGCCAGCTCTGTGCTGACAGCAGGGAGCCCCAACGTGCGGCTCGAACTCACGAACGGTGAGATCATGACTGAGCTGAAATCGGACGCTCAACAGACTGAGCCGCACAGGCGACCCTAGCTCATTAGATGCTAATTCCTGTGCTAGACAACTGGCTTACCACATCCAATTTCCTCTTCTGGCTTAATCTGCCCCCACGGCTACTGCGGTCTAAAATGACTGTCCTAACAAGGGACCCTATAAAAAGGGACTGCCTGTCTCTGCCTTAGCTGATGGGACCAGGGCTGCCCAAACTCCCCTGAAACGTGGGGCCAGGTAGCAGAGCGATCCCGGGCGAAGACTGGGGCCGGACACCATCATGGGCCAGGCAGTCTTGGGGAGTGGAGACCGGGAGCCGGCACAGGATGCTGGCAGCAGACAGATGAGCAGAGCTGCTCTGAGAGGAGGGGGCAGGGAGCGGGAAGGCCCTGAAAGACGAGAGGGCAGCCTCGCCACCTGGGGGCATCCCGCCGCTGGCTCAGGGAGGACCTGCCCATCTGTGCACGCCTGGACCAGCTTCAAGGGGGCTCCGTCTCCCTCCTCCACCCTGCCCTGCCCGGGGTGACTCACCAAGTCACTTCCGGTTCCCTATGGTCACAGGGGGGAGAGGCCGGGCCAGCTTCTGAGCAAATGCAGACCTCCGTCCTTTTCTTCCAGTTTTTACCACTCACGTGAAATTTGGGCAGATTTATAGCCCCAAGAGGTACCTGGGGGATAAATGAATGAAACGAGCTTTCTGAGGTGGCTCGTGGCCAGCCCTGTGCCAGGGACGGTTTGCAAGAGAAAGCTTCCCGGCCCAGTGGGCACACAGGCGGCCGAGGCTGAGGGGTCCCGGGTGCCTTCAGTGCTGCAATTTTACAGGGCAAATGGATGATGCTGTTCCCCGGCACCAGGGAAAGCACCCTCCAGACGCTGTAACAGGCAGGGAGGGCTCAGGGAAGCCACCTGGGTCTTCAGTAAGATCTGGGAGACAGACGTAGGGTTGCTCCCTGAGGAGGTGCTCTTTCACGCCTCAAAAAAAAAAAAAAGTCTGCCGGCATCATGTGAAAGGAGGGCTCTGCTCCTTCAGGCCCCCTCTCTGAGCCTCCACATTCATGTCAGGATTGCAACTAGTTGAAACTAGTTCTCCAGCCACGCATCACCTCACGTCACCCTGATGACACCTAAGAGGCGATCATGGTCCCCCGTCACTGATGAGACGGAGGGCCGGCGGGACGGGGCGGGCCGGCTCACGTCAGGCGGCCGTGCCCACTGCCCCTGGCGCTCAGGAGAGGCATCCAGAGAGCAGATTCCTGGCTAAGATGTAAGTTGGCTGGAGGCACAGGTACCTGAGCTCTACACTCAAACCTGTGGACGGACGGAAGGCCAGCCTGCCTGCTCCCTGTCGTGAACGGAAACGGGAGAGACGTGACCTCAGAGAGAACTAGTCAACGTAGGGTCTGGGTCACCGCCAAGCACTGCCTGTCATCTTCCATTTCTGCACAGGGGTGACCTTTGTGAGGCGGGTGACCCGCCCCCAGGGTCTGCTCCCCTGGCCGAGGTGCCCTTGCCCCGCGTGCCTTCTCTACGGGCTTTGGGCCGGCAGCGGGGTGTAACAGGAAAGCATCCAGTAAGTTCTCTCACCAGCTTTGATGCCTGCCTCCCATCTGCTCTGTCCACAGGAACAACGCCCAGCACCATCCAACACGCCCCTGGAGTCGCGGCCTCAACCTCCCGCTCTGCGTCCGGAGGCACCCCACAGGCTCCCCCGGGCTCGGGCAAGGAGCCAGGCAGCAGAGCATCCCGCCCTGAGCGGCGGCTGCGGCCGGGAGCCCCTCCGCCCTGCCCCACCTGCCCCGCAGACCCACCCTGCTCTCTTCTGGGAGCCGGGTCACGATGGGGACCCCCCACAGCAGCAGCTGACAACAGGGACGAGGAGGGGGGACCCCTCCCGGGAGACAGAACCTCTCAACTGTAGCCTGGACACCAGCAAACGCCTGGTGAACTCAAACCAACCCGGACACACAAGTGCCTTCGAAAAGCCTGCTTATGTGTAGCAGGAAGCGTGACTGGGTCAAGATACGCTGTACAAGGGGGCACCGGCATGCATCATCCAGGGCCTGCAGCAGCCCAGCTAGCACGGGGAAGTAGCCCCAGATGTTGCGGATTTTTAGTGCATTTCACCAGCATACTTACTCCTTATGCACTTTGGGAAGGGCAAAAAAATAAAACACATATAAATTTAAAAAAAAATTTGCTTGCTCATCTTCACTGGGCCACTTTTTAGCTTCAACTACTAACTGCCTAGTATTTAGCAGCTCTGAGTTCTTAGCTGATTGGAACCTTCTTCAGGGCACCCAGGGAGGGCCTGGGAAGTTCCTTCCCATCCCCCACTGACTCCCACTCTTTCCCAGACAGGGTGGTGCACACCTGCCAGGCCAGCTGACTGCAGTCACACTCCGGATCCGCCCCCCCCAGACCCTCCCCCCCCACGCCTTTAAAAGACAAAGCCCAAGGGGAGGAGATCTGCATCAGAATGCTGCCACAGAAAGTCTTTGGGCTGGGAGGATGGGTCCCATCTGGGTGACTTTATGGGACCTCTGGTGTGAGCCCTCTGACAGACTCAGTCCTCCAGCGCCCGACAGCCTGGCCCTGGCAGGGAGACGGCGCCCAAGTACAAAGCCCATACAGCCCACTGCCGCCGAGGCGGGCTGACGGTTAATTCCCCAAGTTGATGGCAGACTCGGCCTCGCCTTACTCGGGGGTGGTGGGCTAGAAAGGGAGACGAGGGAGAGGAGGCTCACGAGCTCCAGAGACGCAGAAAAGGGGCGAGAAAGAACACGGGGCTCTTCTAACTTGAACCTAAAAGCAGGATTCTGACATGGGAATGTTCTCAGAAAACGCTGTTGCGAGTGTTGTGTCAGGGGGCGGGGGGATGGGCAGAGGGGAGGGTCCACCCCCTGCTTTCTAGACAATGAACCCATACGTGGTAAAGGGACTGGAGGCAGACAGGTGTCACTCATATCTTGGTTAAAACGTGAGGTCGTCAAGAATAACCGGGGGCCACGGCGTGCGGGAGGGACGCGGGCACACGCCGAGCTCCAAGCGCCCAGGCTCCACAACCCCACTGGGTTTGCCAGCCGCTGTGCCAATTGCTATAGGAAGGTTAAGAGTCAGGTGCTGACCCTCTACGACGCAGGCTGCTGTGAAATGAAACGGCCTATTGCCATCCATAAGCAAAACACAAAAGCGTAACAAAAATAGACATTTATTAACAAGTTATAGAATCCCAAATCCTCCCTTTGAAACAGTTAAAAAAAAAAAAATACAGGCTTTCTTCCCAAGACAGAGATCAAATCGCTTTTATACTGTAAGGATTTAGCATAATACCCTTTTATTTACTAAAATAATTAACACTCAAAAAGTTGTACACATCTGTGTAAGACTTCACCGGAAAGAAAAGCTGAAGCACCTCTTCTCGTGCTCCTTTATCTGACGCCTTCTATTCTTGGACCCTTTAGCTTTAATACCCACAAATCCCTTCAGTGCTCAGAAGCGTTACCTCAACTTGAGGTATTTTCTTTGAAGAGCACTGAAGCCAAGAGGAAGGGTCCTCCCAGTGTGAACACTGAATGGGCCTGTGGGCCGGAAGCACCCAGGCCTGCTTCGGCTTTGACCGCTTTGTGCGCGCAGTCCCCGGAGCTTATCATTCATCGTTGAGTTAAACAAAGCCAACTTCGCCTGTCAGGAAACGGAGTTAATGTTGACGGAACTTGTCATTATACGTGCTTTCCACGGAAACCCTCGACTCAACTAACCTTCTAGAACCTGGTGCCAGAAGGCACCGGAGGGCAGGGCATCAAGCGTTGGGGACCAAGGCGGCGATGTCCTTGCAGAGCATGACAACAGCCTCCTCGTCACCCTTTGGTGCGTCCTCTGTGGCGTCACGGATCATCTGGATGTGGGTTAGGAGGGTGTCTGGCCGCTGAGCCCCCAGCCAGACGTCCTTAATGTACAGAGATACCAGGAACACTGCGGTGGCTGAGGAAGAGGGCAACAAGGCCATCAGGACACAAAGCTACTCCTCTGGAAAACAAGTCACCCCACCCACACGCCTGGGGACATGGGAGCTTTGCTCGGTACCCAAGTAAACGGTGCCACATGCCTCTGGCAACAGGTGAGCAGGTGTTCAAAACAAATTAATTTTGCTTAAATTTGGGGTTAATCTTTTTTCTTTAAAAAAAATTCATCTTTCTATTTGATCAATGTGTGTGGAACGTGAAAAAAAGTTACTACAAGCCAAGTTTCTTCTTGGTCCTGACCACCCGTGCTGAGAACCAGAACCGTGGTTTGAGAAGAGGTTCCCAGGATCCCTTCACACCATTTCGTCAATAGCATGGGCCAGAGGACAGGGTTTCCCAGGCACAGACTCAACTCCCTGACAGCATCCAGATGAGAGAAGAGGTCACTCCCAGGGTGAGTTCACCTGCCTCGGCTGCTGGCCCATCTCTCTTTCCTGGTCCCCTTACATCCCTCTGTGAAAGGAACAACCCTCTCAGATGGAGGAGGCCACGTGCACATGGTCAGCCTCCCTCTGTTCTCCTTACAGCCTTTTAAGCCTTTGCTGCTGGTTCATTCATTCATTCCTGCACTTAATCCCTCACTAAGCACCTGCTAAGTGCCAAGCACATAAACTGTGTGCATATTTTCGTGCTTGTGCACATATATGCAAATCCATACACACACACACACACACACACACACGCATCTGTACCCACGCATCCATCCGCACTGCTGTGAAGCGTAATCTTCACTTGAGTAATGGCTGAAATGTAGCAAAGCCGCTGCTGTGCAGCGGTTCTGAGGGGCACTCGCTTCTCCACTGCAAACACAATCATCACTGGCACTTGACCAGAGAGCAGAGGCTTCCTCCCTGCCCGCTCACGGCCCCATGGCAAACTGGGTTTGGGTTGGGCCCCATCCATACTTCATCAAGGGTCCCCGACAGGCTCTAAGGACCGGGAGTTGCTCCGGACCCCGCACCCGTTGGTGCATTCCTTCAGCCTCTGACGAGCGAACCAGCCTCACCTCGGGTGGCTTCGTCCTTCTCCTTCAGAGACGAGAGGCAGAGGGTCTCGACCGCCGGGCGGAAG